CCTTCTGGTTAGCAGTCAAATGCCTTAGGCACTACGCTACCAGAGCTCCTGGTCCCAACATAGGCCCTGCTTTCTCTTCAGCCTTCAGGCTCTCTCTGCCCAGGCTGGGTCCCTACACTCATCTCTGTCCCCTGTGTCCCTTTGCACCCTCAGACACCAGGCACAACCTCCTTCAGGGCTTCCCAGGATCCTTGGCGAGGTGTTGTGCACCCCTTCTCTGTGCTGCCCCCATCTGGACCTCCCCCAGGGTGGCACTTTGGGCCTGCTCTCTTCCGTAAGCCCTGGCAGGGAGGGCTCAGTCCACACTTCAGACACTCGTGCAGTCACTCAACGACCACAGGCTGAGTGCTGCTTGTTGGTGTTCGCTTATGTCACGCTCCGCAGTCGAGCTAAGGTGGCAAGGCTCCTGCTGTCTGCTCTCTGTGCCCATGGATTTATCCCGCTAACAGTCACACGACGCCCTCCGGGTCTGTACACCACGTGGAGCAAATCAAGCGTGTAGCGTTCTGAGTCCGGAGAGAAAGGCTGCTCTGTGTCCTCCCACCTGCTCAGCTCCTTCCTGGGAAGGCCTTCGGGAGGAGTATGGCTACCTGCCTGTTTTCCTTTTAATAGACCTTACATTTTAAGGCAGTGTTAGGCTTATGCAGAGAGAGCAGAGGGCCCCTTACCGCCCCTGTTCAGTTTCTCCTGTAGCTATCATCTTCGTTAATGTGGTTTGCTTGTTACCATTGCTGGATCAATAGTGATGCGTTACTACTAAGGCAAGTCCACCCTTTCATAAGGCTTCCCTCTGTGTTGTACACTCCTGTGGGCTTTGACAGATGCGTGATGTCATGTGTCTGCCATGACAGTGTCAGGCACGCCCTGCAGATGCCCTGTGCCCCGCCTGCCCGTCCCTGCCGCTCCTCCCGCTGGGCCCCCGGCTACCAGTGACCTCTTTACCAGTGCTGTAGTTGTGCCTCTTGCAGAAAGTCATAGAGTTCGGTTTCCCAGCTCCTCCTGCAGTTTTCCTTTAGGCAGCGAGCAAGCAGGCCCTGGATGCACACCGAGCAGGCCTGCAGACAAGCCCTGCTTCCCAGGAGCTGACGCGTGTCCTTCTCTCTTACAGGGAGACTGCTGCGGAGACACTAGATTCTCTAATACAAGCAACTCATGTTGCCGCGAGAGGCAACTCCAAACACAGCGACCTCAGCGACGGCTGGCTTGAAATCATTCGTAAGTCCAGGCTGCGCACGGGGGAGACGTGGAGCTTCATCGCTGTGACAGGCCAGTTTGAGTGCTGGAATTCTGTGGCCTAAACCAAAAACACAGACTCAGCCCACTGCTGTCGAGTTGATCCCAACTCATAGCGACCCTGCAGGACAGAGTCGAACTGCCCCAGAGAGTTCCCAAGGCTGTGTAACTTCTTGGACAGACAGCCCTATCTTTTTCCTGCAGAGCAGCTGGTGGGTTCGAACTGCTGACCTTTCAGTTAGCAGCCAAGCACTTAATCTGGGCCTAAAAAGGTGCCCTGGTGGCCCTGTGGTTAAGTGCTTGGTGCTAACCGAGAGATCCATAGTTCAAACCTATCAGCCACTGAGGGAGAAAAATGTGGCAGTCTGCTTCTGTAAAGATGACAGCCCTGGAAACCCTATGGGGAAGTTCTCCCCTGTCCTCTAGGGGTGCTGTGGGTCAGACTCCATGACAATGGGTTTGGTTTTGGGTTTGGAACTGGGCCTTTGTGGAGGGGTTAACTCTCCAGGCAGAGGGCTCGTCACATCTTTCCCTTTTATTTCTCATGTCATTTATGTTTTTTTAAATTTCCTGGCTGACTGGTGAGCTAACGGTGTCTATGAAAGACTCCAAATGAAGTTTGGAGACTTTCAGGGCATTTGTGTTGATGTTTTTCTCACCAGGAGCATGGGCAGTTAAGGATTGACTTTGGCATTTTTGTTTACCTAAAAGAAAGAAAGGTGATTGAAAGCATTGTGTTCAATGAAAGAAGTCAGTCACAAAAGACCACGTATCGTAGGATCTTATTTCTGTG